GAAGCTTTCCCGACTGGGATGCGCTGGCCAGCTTGCATCTGGCCGGCAAGAAGCTCCGTACGCGAAGCCTCCATCTTCAGTTGCTCCAACAGCACCCATACGTTGGGGTGGGTGATGTTCACCTTTCGGCTAAATCGATAGTGCCATCCCTCAACACTGTTGTTGGTCCTGACGTCCCTTCCATGGCAGCACCACAGCGACATCGGAACGTTAGCATTCTCAATCCAACCGATCGAAGGCGGCTGTGACCTGGTCTTCTGGCAGGAATGGCAATGCCATCAGTTGACGACAGCAGTCCTGTAGGTTACCAGCACTGTAAAGTTCCTGCATGCCGGCTGCCGGCTAATTGGTGCCCGTACGTACATTTACGTGTACAGCGCTGAAGTGCCTCCCGCGGAAAAATCTGCGCTGAAGAAATTGGCGCTGACATGTCCCGCGCTTAAAAATTTCGCGCTGAAATCATCGGCGCTGTCAAGACACTGCCCTGAAATGGCACCGAGCTGAAATGCCTCGCGCTAAGGCGGTCGCGCTGAAGTGCACCGCGCTAACATGGACGCGCTGTCGCGGGAGGTTACCGTTTCATGCATGTTTGGTACGCAGGGGCGACGGAAGGTATTTTAGTGTGGTACGGTCGACGGTCGCGGTCAGCCATCCGAACTACAATTTACTCGTGGGGGAGTGGTGGAAGAGCCGAAAATTTTGGAAATCCCAGATCAGTGTATTCAAGAGTCCAAAAAGGGGGTTATTGCTTAAGAAATGTTCGGCACTTGTGTCCATCACTTGCTACCGTTCTTATTAATACCTACCGTGATCCAGCTCATCTCTACGTGGACGGTGAAAGTATCCTGTCGCAAGAAGGGACAACACAGGGTGATCCCCTTGCAATGTACATGTACGCGTTGGGAATAATGCCCTTGATACGTTTGGCGGATGAGGCGGGTGCGGTGCAGTCATGGTTCGCGGACGATTCATCCGCTGCTGCTCGTCTTCGCAGACTCCGTCTATGGTGGGACATAATGGACAAGAGAGGACCGGCATATGGATATTACGTAAACCCAAAGAAATCGGTCCTTGTCGTCAAGGAAAGGTGTTACCAGGAGGCGACTGAATTGTTTCGAGACACTGGTGTAATGATAACGGACGAGGGATCACGATATCTTGGCGCAGCAATCGGAAGGGACAGCTTTCTTCAAAGCTATATCAAAACAAAGGTGGACGAATGGATGGGGGAACTGAAGAAGCTAGCAGTATTTGCACAAACCCAGCCGCAGGCTGCGTATTCTGCGTATGTGACGGGCCTCAGGGGTAGATGGGCGTTCCTCTGTCGTACCATGAAGGTACCCGAACCCATGTTCCAACCGCTGGAGGACATTGTGAAGTCTGAACTGATTCCCGCCTTAACTTGCCGTGCACCCCCAGGCGACACCCTCCGACGGCTTATGGCTTTGCCGTGTCGTCTGGGTGGGCTCGGTTTGATTAACCCTGTGTCCCTATGCCAACAATACGACTCGTCGGTTCGGATGACCAACCCTTTGTCTCGGAGAATCTTGTCAGGGGATGGCTCCATCGGTGACTCGGTAGTGTTAATCAGATCGGCCAAGAGAGACGCCAAGGCATCTTCTCGACGTCATCAGAAACTGGAATTCGACGCGATATCGGGCAGTGCGTCGGAGTCGCTACGACATGTCATAGACGTCGCGAAGGAGAAAGGGTCGTCGAGCTGGCTGACGTGCCGTCCACTTAAGAAATATCATTTTAATTTAACAAAGGGAGAGTTTTGGGACGGACTCTGCCTCCGTTACGGATGGACACCGGCCAGGGTACCGTCACACTGCTCTTGCGGCCAAGAGGCAACTGTCGCGCATTCCCTGTCGTGCCCCTATGGAGGGTTTCCCTCCATTAGACACAATGGTATTCGGGACGTCACGGCCCGGCTGCTGGACGAGGTGTGCACCAGTGTGTCCATCGAGCCCTTGCTGCAACCGCTGACGGGGGAGCGTCTTCGCTACCGGACCGCAAATGTGGAAGACCGTGCCCGGTTGGATGTCGCTGCCAATGGTTTGTGGGGCAGTCGTTTTGAGCGTACACTTATTGATATGAAAAGGCGACGAGGAGACAATAACTTTATCAATGCGATTAATAGTATTAGTGAAGCGGACATTACAAAAATGATGAATGAGAATACATGTATCTAAAATGGTTGTTCCTAATCGATTTTCTTGAGACTATCATCAGGGAAAATCGTCTCACAATAGAGGCTATACGGAGAAACAAACTACTTATAGGTTATTGGATAGTGGGAAGTATACAAGGTGAGGTGTGAAAAAACTAAAGTGGGAGAGAAGACGAAAGAAATTAGAAGAAAAGATGTGAGAGTGTTCCCGACGGTGTGAGCTACTACATAAGGTGAGTGAAATGAAGGCGTGGAAGCAGGTGAATGTGATAGAGTGAGGAACTGTGAGGTGTAGGTGTATGCGAATGAATACGTGTGAGAATGCTAGGTGAAGAGTCTCAGTTTTGTGACATTTTCTTTCTGAATGCATAGATTAGGATTGTGTTTACGGATGAAAACAGCTTCTAATACCTTAAGTTCACGAAACCTACGAGCACGACACAAAACAGTGAAGCATGAATCATCATACACTGAGCGGCATTGGCTACTAGACAAGAGGTGTTTCTTAATGGCTGACCCTTTCGTTGTGGTCTCACCTTCAGTCCGGTCATCTTCATCTTGGTTGTCCAACTCACTCTCTTCATCACTGCTCTCACCTTCCTCATCCTCTTCCTCTTCCATCCCGTCCTCTGCACCCAACGACAATCCCACGCTACTGCTCGCTGCCAGTCCATGTCCGGTTGTAGATGTCATTACCAGCGCACGAGTCATGCTCCTTGTTACCGGTCTCCGTACCTGTGTTTGGCCAATTCCTTCAGTCTCACGTACCTATGTACTTGTAGTACGTTCAACCGGTACTGTGTGGTTCTGTTGTAATTGTTCAACTGGCACCTGTTTGCGGGGACGGCCTCGTCCAGGTCGCTGGGCTTTGGCTCCATCTGACAATAGGTACAATGGTACATGTTGTTTGACGCGTGCGTTCAGGTGCTGAAGGGTTCTTCCTACATATCGGCTATCACAATGCCGACATTCAAAATGATAGATTACATGGCTAATCAGTTGGGTAGGAAGAACATCCTTCTTCACCGTGAACGCACGGGCCGTAGTAAAGACTGTTGTCAATGCTGTGGCAAAATAGGTTTGTCTGACAACAGTCCTCACGGCACTGTCGGGAACACTCTCACATCTTTTCTTCTAATTTCTTTCGTCTTCTCTCCCACTTTAGTTTTTTCACACCTCACCTTGTATACTTCCCACTATCCAATAACCTATAAGTAGTTTGTTTCTCCGTATAGCCTCTATTGTGAGACGATTTTCCCTGATGATAGTCTCAAGAAAATCGATTAGGAACAACCATTTTAGATACATGTATTCTCATTCATCATTTTTGTAATGTCCGCTTCACTAATACTATTAATCGCATTGATAAACTTATTGATATACGGGTTTTTAATCCTCACTCACGCTCAAATCGATCTGCACCACATACTATTGTGTATCATCGACATGAAAAAGAAAAGAGAAGGCACTATGAGGAGCGGGTGAGGCAGGTTGAGCAAGCCTCCTTTGTTCCGGCGGTCATGTCAGCCAGTGGCGGAATGGGTCCAGCATCAACAGCACTGTACAAACGAATTGCTCATCTGTTGGCGGAGAAGAGGGGTGAGCATTACTCTCATGTTATGGCATTTGTTAGATGCAGGATTTCCTTCAGCCTTCTGAAATCCTGTATCATGTGCATTCGCGGTTGTAGGCGTTTAAATTTTGGTTTGAAATTTGCACCCTCCTGCGGAGCCCACGCTGCTTTGGCAGTGGCGGAGGCTCGCTTGCCGACGTAACCGTCGGAGATCATCATGAACAATGGACTGACTAATTATTCACTTGTCCTGTCTTTATAAATAACATGTTATTGCATATGTTCTTGGTTTAGTTTTTGGCCTTTTTCGTGCTTTGGAGTTGATAACATTTTCCTCACTATCAAAAAAAAAAAAAAAAAAAAAAAGGGGTTATGGACTCTTGGTGTATTTTATTGATTCACGGGGTAGCTGGGGCAAAAAGTGGTACGGTCAATACCGTAGTGACCGTACCGTGTGCGACGCCCCTGGTACGTGGATAAAGAAAAGGAGCAGAATTCGAGGAATTGCCCGCCATAAGGTTTGTATGGTTCTGCCAATTTCACTGCTTTTGGAGCAGAATCTGCCACCTTTTCGAGCATTATCCGCCAATGCCTACAAAACAGCGTTGGCTGTCTGCCCGCATCTACATGCATGGAGTTGGTTTTAAAAATGTAGCACTGTGGCGCTAGAGCGACGAGCTATCTTTTAACTAAAAATGCCTGCGGTGCTTCGTTTGCACCATGGCTGGAAGCTCCAGCTGTACTCCACTGATGAGGCCTTTATGGCGGAAGCAGCTTGCTGTCTACAGCATTGGGTACTCTGATGAAGGGTACAAACTACACTGACAAGACTGACAAGATAGTTAGTATGAAGGCAGGAGTACAAGGTTCCTTACTATTGAGTTGTGTGTTAACAACTTGCTAGGAGGCAAGTGTGTTCAGGTAATGAAGTGTGTTCAGGTAATGAAGTGTGTTCAGGTAATGAAGTGTGTTCAGGTAATGAAGTGTATTCAGGTAATGAAGTGTGTTCAGGTAATGAAGTGTGTTCAGGTAATGAAGTGTGTTCAGGTAATGAAGTGTGTTCAGGTAAGGAAGTGTGTTCAGGTAAGGAAGTGTGTTCAGGTAAGGAAGTGTGTTCAGGTAAAAACCTGTCAAGGCGATCACCTGTCCTACATGTAGAAGACCATGCACTGAAAGCATGCAGGACCAAGGGATGCTATTTCCAGTCAAATAAATGACCCTGGATAAGAGACCATGCCACCATGTACCTGTAGCTCAAGCCACGGCGTCATCGTTTAGTGGAATTTTCGAACAACTGCTGTCACTCGCCGCTGCCGCAGTCGAAGTCATCATGTGCTCCGGGAGAAACGACGCCGGCAACACCTGTCTGGCGACGAGTGCAAACGGCGTGTGCTGCCCTCGCATGATCGTGTCGTACGTCATGTTCTCCAGGTACCGGCGCTTTGCACTGCTGCTGTAGAGATGGAGCGCGTAGACGTTCGGCGGCTCAAAGCCGGATTCGCGCGCGTCCCGCTCGAAGATCTGCACCAGATGGTCGTCGTACCAGCTGTACGGGTAGAAACCCGTTTCGTACGGCAACAGCTTAACGCCCGGGTAGCGGGCTGGTCGCTCTTCATGTGCGCTCCTCCGGTAGAGCATGTCCGTTAGCAGAAACACTGAGTGCGCCGACCAGGTGCCGTCAAAGCGGCCGTACATGCCACGTCCAAAGTCGCACATGACGCACGTCCGAGCGCGTGCAATCAGCACTCCCACGGCAACCCGGTCGTTCATCTCGTAACTCGCCACCGCCTCTTCGTCGGCCAGCAGGTCGCCGAGCGGCTTTGTCAGTATCGTATCCAAGTCCATGTACACGCCACCATGCTGCCATAGCAACGCGACGCGTAGAAAGTCGGAGTGGTGTGCGGGCTGCTCCACGCGCTGGCAGTTGACGCGTTCAGGTATCCGGTCGGAGTCGATTGGTACGAACTTCACCAGCGGGTGGTCCCTGATGCGTTGCGCCCAGCAGGTTGTTTGCACGCCTCTATGATGTACCGTGACCTGGAGGGGACGTACGAATTTTATCGCAGACATCACAGATAACCAGTGGTGGAACGCCAGGTCGTCACCGATCTGTATGAAGTGCACTAGTCTCGGCACGGCCCCCGAGCCCGTGATACATTCTGCACGGCACGTTTCTGTCCAAGCGCTGGCGGAGCGAGGTTGCGGATCGCCGCACGCTAAGATCCATGCTATCATGTACAGGAGCCTGATGCACGCGGCTGCACTCAACAAGATGGCCAGCAGAGCGCCGCCAGAGCAGCAACTTGCTTTCACTCGCATCCGAATCAATGGCAGCAGCTTTGTCCCATGATTAACATCTGCTCCCCGGGAAAGGCGGACCGCACTGCGCTGCGGATCTCAGGGAGTGTGAGACATTGAGAGCCACTCCACAGCTTCACTACAGTCAGGCATTCCGAACTCATCAAACCAACGCACACAACCGACTGCTTGTACTTTCTTCGGAGAGACAATGTTCTATCGGCCAGTGAAGGACACCAGCAACCCAACACACAGCCATCATGCACGTAGTCGTTCGAAAAGCCGATCGGAGGGCCGCAGATCAGAGGCTAGCCTTTCGCTACTTTCGGCACTTTCGTCGGATTTCTTTGACTGACCACGGCTATTCTTACACTGTACAGTCTACATGACCGTACTGCAAAGTGTAGGTGGAGACCGCGACGTGTGGAAAGACAGCAAGGACATGAGTGATGACGCTCACACGAATGTCCACTGGACCAGCCCTGGATTTCACACTGCTGCCACTGCTACCAGTCACACTCTGTGCACTAGTAGTACTAGTACTTCTACATACATGTACAGTCAACTTCGCTTATAACGACACTCGGCGGGGCATCAGAAAAGTGTCGTTATTCACAAAGTGTCGTTATACCCGAATTCTCATTATATGTATTACAGTTGGATGGGACTTTACTCTGGGCATGGAAATTCCGTCGTTATTCGCGAATTGTCGTTATATCCGCAGTCGTTATTAGCGAAGTTGACTGTAATCATTGTAGTAGTAGTAGTAGTAGTAGTAGTAGTAGTAGTAGTAGTAGTAGTAGTAGTAGTAGTAGTAGTAGTAGTAGTAGTAGTAGTAGTAGTAGTAGTAGTAGTAGTAGTAGTAGTAGTAGTAGTAGTAGTAGTAGTAGTAGTAGTAGTAGTAGTAGTAGTAGTAGTAGTAGTAGTAGTAGTAGTAGTAGTATTTATTATTTTACTAGGGCAATCCCCACAGACTGTGAGTCTTTTTACAGGGTACCCTAGGTAAGTGCGTGAAATAGAGCTGAATGAAAAAAGCCGTAAGTGCGTGAAATAGAGTAAAGAAAAAAGAAAACGGTGGCTGCATACTGTGCCATTATGTGTTGCAAAAGAGGCTGCGAAGAGTACTGTTGAACATTGCAAAGGAGGCTGCCTGGCGGCATGCTGCTGGAAGCGAATTCCACCTGTCAGCAGCCAGGTAAGGCAAAGCATAGAAACCGTACCGTGACGAAGCATTAGGCAGGGCTAAAGCCAGGGCGGACTGTCCCCTTGTCAAGGCATTGGTATGGTTGCTATTTGATCTAAGTACAAAAAGCTCGGCAAGTAGAGGGCTGCGGCGGCCATGCACACATTTATAGACAAGGCAAAATATCTTTAGGTTATAACGGATGGCGACAGGAATAATTTTGTGGCGTTGACAAATGGTGGCGGTTGGGTGCCAAATGTTATCCTGAGGCTACGTTTGAAGCATCGAATGAGTGTGTTGTATAGGGTTGCTGATATCATGTGAACGTAGCTGTTGCTGGCGTACTCCATGGTGGATTGGATAATGCTTAGGTAAAAGGAACGTTGTGCCTGGGTGGTGATGTGATGTCGTATTCTGCGGAATGCGGCCAGCTTACGGTTGACGTCAGCAACAACTTTCCCGACCTGCTCCTTGAAGGCAAGGTGCTGGTCGACTAGCACTCCAAGGTAACGGACACACTGGGAAGGGGATACTGGGAAGTTACCACAGATGACAGTGAAGGTAGGTGGAAATGGGGTTGTCTTCCGGCGGACGATTAATAGCTGAGTTTTGTCGGGGTTCAGTAGGAGGCCCAGTTCCGTGAGGTGTGATTTAACCGTATCGAAGCTCTCTGATAGTCGGTCCTGTATCGTGTTGATGCAGCTGCTCGATGTGTGGAGTCCTATATCGTCGGCGTAGAGTATGTTAGATGTGTGAGTTGGTGTGACGTCTGTTACGTGTCTTGTGTAGATTGTGAAAAGAACGGGGCCCAGGACAGAGCCTTGAGGTACCCCTTGACTACAGGTCACGGAGTCGCCGGATGTTTTTGTGGAGGGGTTCGTCACTGTCTGTCGACGAGCGCTTAGATAGGAGGCGAACCAAGACAGTGCTGTGCCACAAATACCGCAGGAGTAGAGCTCGTTGATGAGTGGCTGGTGCTTGACCCGGTCGAACGCCTTGCTCATGTCCAAGAATAACACTCCGGTGTTCTGACCGTCATCCAAGCGTTGTTGCCACTTTGATATAGCCAGTGAAAGTGCATCCTCTGTGGAGTGATCAGAGCGGTAGGCGAACTGTTGGGAAGGAAGAATGTTGAGCTCTGGGTGGGTGTTGATATAGCGCTGCAGTTTTTTGAAGGACGATCTTTTCTAGAAGCTTGGATACGATGGGGAGTAGAGATATGGGGCGATAGTTAGAGGGACATTCTGGATTGCCTTTCTTGAAGAGGGGGAATACAGACGCTACTTTATATATGTCTGGAAAGGAACCGAGGGAGAGTGATTCGTTGAAAATGAGACAGAGGGGACCGGCTAGTTCTTCTGCACAGATTTTCAGAGGAAGGGGTGGGAGTTCGTCGGATCCGGTGGATTTGAAAGGGGAGATCTTCTTGAGGAGCTTGCAGACTTCAGTGGTAGTGACAGATTGTGTGAATCCTTTATGCGCACTTTCCACTTTCCAAAGTATTTGTACGTAGGGATTGAGTTGAATAAAAACAGCCCTTCAGTCTTCACAGACTACAACACATCAGGGACTCGTACCCAAACTGGTTTGGATACGACTCCCTGATGGGTGATGTGCACAGCCCTTTGCGGATAACAAGGATAATGCACGGAAAGCAGCGGAATTGGCCGAATCACACAAACCTTCCGACAGGAGCTTCCTAGAACCGGGTTACCCTGCTCCATTACTTTATCAACATACGCTGATACCAAACATACACGACAAACTACCAAATTCTGCACCACGCGCGTCACTATCTGCCAAGCCGGCTACCACTACGTTGTACATGTATGATGTACGAAATTCGATCACGTGGTTAGTCCCCTGGTGTTGAGTCACGTGGTTAGTCCCCTGGTGTTGAGTCACGTGGTTAGTCCCCTGGTGTTGAGTTGCATGTTTTCGGGTATGTTTTTTTCAAACTTTTTTTGCTACTATCATTGCAAGCACACGCTACTACCGGTAATACAATGTAGACCCTCTATGCTGGCGCACCAAGTGTTGATTCTCAACTAACCGCACATTTACTAACTCGGAGCGCCCAGCCATCCGTTATTCGGCAATCTGATACAGTGTATGACCTCCTATCTGAGTCTGGTCGGTTTAGTATCTCCACTTCCCAAGTCGAACTGACTGTCTGGCGGAAAGAGCCAGCGGTGCAACGCATGCATACCCGTACCCCGCACAACTGGCGTAGTGAAAACAGTCTGTCCAGCCTCAGGCTTGCCACGTTCCAAAGCAGGACACCATACAAACATATAATACAAAGGCAATTGTCTCCCATGTAAATTGTACACAAATGTTTTGGTCCAAAGCAGGACTGTCCTGCTCTAATCAGGACTGTCGGACAGTCTGTAAAAATGGTGCGCCCACCGCCGGACTACTAACAGCCACCTGATCCTTGATGAGATTACCGGGGACGGTGACAATGATGCAGCAGATGTTCGCCGTCAGCGCTGGCGGTGACAGGATACTAGAAATAGGACCGAAACCAAAAACCTCTCCACATGACTGCCCCTTCTGCGGAGCACCAGTTCACACGCATGGGGGGGGGGGGGGGAGAACAAGACCACATGTACACACACTTACCTGCTGTTGCTGCCGTCTGACTTCGGCCCCTATTCATATCGTTCCAATGCCTAAGGAGAGTGGAGGTGTTTTAGAGCCTGAGTGTAAGGCCACCAAAATGCAAATACACGCCTCCATGCTGTCAATAATTCAGAAAATCTTCCAAGAGCCGCCTCCGTTTGTACTTATCGTCGCGTTACGATTAAGGCCAATCAAGGTGCGGTGGCGCTGCAAGAACTGCTTCAGCCTGACCGTCTCAGCTGTGGCATTCACGTTTCTTGTGACCGTGATGGTGTGGATCGCTGGTACCCACACAACCTCGTTCAGTTCCCTGGGTACATCTACGTGGGATCGTGCACACTTATTGGGCAGGGAGGTAAGATCACGCACTGCAGCCGCGGAGAGGATACGGCGTGCAAGAATGGCGTTCTTCAAGCGCGCTCTGCCAACAGACTCAAGCAAGTTTGCTTACACTAATGGTACCATGATGATGCATAACCTCGCAGGCCTCCCATTTGAGAAATTCCTGGGATTCCAGTGCACGGGGGATGCGTCATCCTGGCCTAAGGTGTGTGACCAAACATGTAGTAGCGGCAGAGGGGAAATCCCCTCGTTAGTTCATATGACACAGCTGGGAGATAACATGGAATTTCATCATTGGCTGTCTGTAATGTCCGCCATACGGTTCATGCGCCCTGTTGAGGTCCTTATCCATCACATTGGACCGCAGACGACATGCTGGGCGCGGCGTATACGCGCGCACCCGCTTGTTCGCTTCGTTGCGGTCGCCGAGGGTGCGATTCCTTCTCGCCTCAATGGTGTCAAGGTCGAGGAGCCAGCGCACAAGTCCAACTTTCTGCGTCTGGCAGTTCTTTGGCAGTACGGAGGTGTCTACATGGACCTGGGCACAATTGCAACGAAGTCGTTCACCGGTCTCATGTTCAACGAGGGCGTTCCGTGTCGGCAGGTGGACGGCAGAGTGGCCAAGTGCATTCTGCTGTGGCGCGCGCGCTCCTGCTTGGTCTGTGAGTACGCCAAGCGCACTTGTCGCCTGTTCGACGGCCGCTGGGTAACACACTCGGTTGCGAGCCTCACCGATGTGTTGCTCGGCTACGACGACGATGAGGAGCAATCGCTGAGCTATCCAGACTTTGCAATACGGGGGTACGGCAAAGGCTTTACTCCGCTTTCCTGGGAACAAGAGCAGCTGAAGAGTATATTCAGCTACGACGCAGTGGACTCTGACTTTGATCCCAGCGATGTGTATGCGTCACATCTGTCGTACACCCAGAGGCTCACGCTCGACTCTGTGAAGAGCGGAAAGACGCCATCTGCGCTTGTAGCCCAACAGGTCCTGCCGGAGGGTTTCTCGGAGCGCCACTTTGACGAGACGAGGTGCCCTGACGTTCCCCTCGTCACTCCCTTGTGAAGAGCAACGTGGCAAGCCTCCAAAGTGTTGCAGAAGAAGGATCCAAGAGCGGGATTCGAACCCAGCACCCATCCCTGTCTTCCGGGACAGTACCGCACCGATGAAGCTACGAGGGATCACACACACACACACACACACACACACACACACACACACACACACACACACACACACACACACACACACACACACACACACACACACACACACACACACACACACACACACACACACACACACACACACACACACACACACACACACACACACACACACACACACACACACACACACACACACACACACACACACACACACACACACACACACACACACACACACACACACACACACACACGCACACACACACACACAGACACACACGCACGCACACTCTTGGCTCCTTCTTGCTATGCTAGCCATTGGTAGGGAAGTCTTAGTGTGGTAAAAGATGCTAACAAGACTACATATTGCATAACTGTGGGGTTATATTGGCAACTTCACGCCTGCACCTGACTCTTGCGCTATGATACGCGTCGCCTATGATACCCCTCAGAGATACCCACCTTGCTCCCCCTTATTCTATTATTCTTTTATTCCACGATGGCGTGACGCCAATAAGGATGATTAATAAGTGCGATAGAACTGGTACTAGCCAGAAACAGCTAGATGGAAATTAACCGGGAGGCAAGAAGCAATGGATCATGAAAAACAAGCGGGGGCAATAACATTAGCAGGGGTGATCGAGATAGTTAAGTACACGTTCGAGATATCAGAAACCAGGGGGATGCGCGGAGCAGGAACAGGTACTGCTCAAAAGAAGACTGGATGCATTGTTTCGAAAAGAATGTCTACGAGGTTGGGCTGTGATGTCGATAGGGAGTGAGTTGTAGAGGGTGAGGGCACTGTTGATGGGGGAATTTTGGTGCCTGTTCGTGTGTGCGTGTCCGATGGAGTAGGTCCTTGTCTGTCGAAGGGTGCATGGTTGGTGTTGACGTTGTGGTGCAAGATGTGGTTGTTACAGGTGTGGTGGGGAGGTTTGTTCTGGCTGCCCGTTTTGGATCCATCAGTTGCCTGATGGTCGTACTTCGGTAGTAATACGTGAAACTAAGTGTTGTAACAAAGCTTCCAATCTCTCTCTCTCTCTCTCTCTCTCTCTCTCTCTTCTCTCTCTCTCTCTCTCTCTCTCTCTCTCTCTCTCTCTCTCTCTCTCTCTCTCTCTCTCTCTCTCTCCTCTCTCTCTCTCTCTCTCTCTCTCTCTCTCTCTCTCTCTCTCTCTCTCTCTCTCTCTTGTGTAACCGTGGTTATAACAAGAGTATATGTACAAGTACATATTAAACCGTGGCTATGTATTCTTGTTGCTAAGCAGCTTGAACAAGTTGAAGAGCAGTGCTGGTTTCCCGTCCAAGTGCCTAGAACTATGCTCGTGATGGAGTCAACGGTGACACTGTCTATTTCTTTGTCGAATGCAGTCAGACACCAGTCCAGCGCTAGCGGAGTGTTCGCGTCATGAACATACATGTTCTTGAAGTAGGTAATTTATAGCATTACGGTCATTCTGATTGTTCACATCCCTGTCCACCTTGCTAGTCACCCAGCAGACATGCCGTTCATGCTTGTAACAGGCACTTACGTACTTTGGCTCGCATCACACCAGGGAGTAGTACAATACCGATATTTTACTACTCCCTGCATCACACAGCGGAAATGATTGTTTAGCCGTCCTGGATATAATTTCTTGCTTTCCTTCACGATCTTTATCTCTTGCTTTCCTTCACGATCTTTATCTCTTGCTTTCCTTCACGATCTTTATCTCTCTCTAAGCTATTCTCTCTCCCTCTCCTTCTGACTCTCTCTTTCATCACATTCTATATCTTTCTATTATGGATCTCTCTCTCTCTCTCTCCCTCCCTCCCTCCCCTCCCTCCCTCCCTCCCTCCCTCCCCTCCCTCCCTCCCTCTCCTCCCTCCCTCCCCCTCTCCTCTCTCTCTCTCTCTCTCTCTCTCTCTCTCTCTCTCTCTCTCTCTCTCTCTCTCTCTCTCTCTCTCTCTCTCTCTCTCTCTCTCTCTCTCTCTCCTCCGTCCCTCCCTCCCTCCCTCCGTCCCTCCCTCCCTCCGTCCCTCCCTCCCTCCGTCCCTCCCTCCCTCCTCCTCCCTCCCTCCTCTCTCTCTCTCTCTCTTCTCTCTCTCTCTCTCTCTCTCTCTCTCTCTCTCTCTCTCTCTCTCTCTCTCTCTCTCTCTCTCTCTCTCTCTCTCTCTCTCTCTCTCTCTCTCTCTCTCTCTCTCTCTCTCTCTCTCTCTCTCTCTCTCTCTCTCTCTCTCTCTCTCTCTCTCTCTCTCTCTCTCTCTCTCTCTCTCTCTCTCTCTCTCTCTCTCCCACTCTCTCTCTCTTTTCTCTAGGAAAATAATTCAGCGGGGGCAATGCACAACCAGCTCAACTGATAGTAAGGTGTCCTCTGATAGTAAGGTGTCCTCTGATAGTAAGGTGTCCTCTGATAGTAAGGTGTCCTCTGATAGTAAGGTGTCCTCTGATAGTAGGGTGTCCGTCTGTAGAGTTTAGAGTACCAGGTTACTACATAACGTTAGTGCAGTAAAACCTGTCAAAGCGACCACTCGGATATGGCGACCACCTGTCCCAGAAGACCACTGCAACCAGGACCAAGGGATGCTACATGCAGTCAAATTACTAGTACCCTGGATAAGCAGACATCAGAGACCACGTGTTGATGGTCCCTTGAGCGGTCGTCTTAGGCAGGTTTCACTGTACTTCGATCTTCATCTGCATTGTGGAGTGGGGAGAGGGGTGGGCCGGGCGGGGGCTGAATAAAGTGTTTCAATATTCCGAGTGGGTTTCAATATCGTAAACTTGAGCAGTGTGTGAGTGCACCGTACTGAAGCTTTATAAAGTGGAAAGCATGGTGAGCGTGTCACAACACGATCTGCCGACGTCATTACGTGATCTGCTGACGTCATTGCATGATCTGATGTCGTCATTGCATGATCTGATGACGTCATTGAACACAGTGTGGGTGACATACGCCTTGAAATGAAGCCAATGCCCCACCAGTAGCAGCAGCAACACCAACACCATCAGTAGCAGTAGCAGCACCAATGGAGTTGAAGTTGCCAGCTATCACGAATTCCTGATCCTACTCTGCATATAGAGTATCCCGAGCCTTCGGTGGACACCTAACAACGTTAGTTTACGTCGGTGGACGATGGTCCAGCACGGGGTGGTACTGGCGGGGCGTGTTGTTGCTTCCGGCTGACTGCTACAGCATGGCTGGCGTGTGTGACGCCTTGTGAACGTGACGGGCAGCTCTCCAAGGTTTGTCTTGGTGCGGTGGCTTTGCTGAGTGCACGGTGTAGGCTGGGTCTCCTGCTCAGGCTTTTTGGCCCGTCGTTTGTCCTCACTGCCGCTCTGGCATCCTGCAACGGGGTGGTGGCCAGTGACCTGCTCTGCGGGAGCACTAGACTGCTAGTGAGTGATAAAGGGCGCGGCACCGAGTACCCGGACAGGCGGTCCACCAGTGCATCCAGGCTATCGGTGTTGGCGGCGGCGGCGGCCATGCACACGTGTGGGACGACGGCGTGTTGCTTGCTGCACAGTGGCTGTGCTATGCCGGTCTTCCAGTCCCCACTGGCTATGTTGACGTAGCTTCCACTAGCGATGACATCACTACTAGGTCGTCCACTAGCAATGACATCACTACTAGGCCCTCCACTGGCGATGACATCCCTACTAGGCCCTCCACTAGCGATGACATCACTACTAGGTCGTCCACTAGCAATGACATCACTACTAGGCCCTCCACTGGCGATGACATCACTACTAGGCCCTCCACGAGCGATGACATGACTACTAGGCTTTGTGTTAGCTGTATAGGCACATCGGAGTAGCATTCCGTTGCAGTACGCACTGTCCACGATGCCCTGGTCGGTGTGCAGCAGGTTCTCCGTTGACCGGACGAACAAGTCACCAGAGTTGACGACATCACCATCGGGCAAAAACACGACATCATCGGCTGTGGCAATGCGACGCCGCTCCGCGCTACCACAGCTAGACTTGCGCGAGACGCGTGCCGATCGGGCTGACGAGCGACGGGATCCGTCCCCCTGACAACCGTCCGACAACCGACACGGAGGTAAGCCTCCCACGACGGAAAGATCCGACGCCCTCCGCTCGGCGAGCCGACAGAGCTTCATGTGTCTCCGTATGAGACAGGCCATGGTGAATACCAGCGTGATCAGAACGAACAGCGAGAAAACGCAGGCGAGGACAATTCCAACAAGGTTTTTGTTAGAGTTGGCGGCGGACAACGAGGAAAGCTTGTTGGTGGTTCCTGAGGCAGCACAGCTGGAACAATCGTATGATAGTCCATTGTCAGCATAGAAAACAGATCCATGCGCGGATGACGTTGGGCATTTCACGTAGGGGCATGCTTGACTCCCGGTTGCCGCACCGACACACTCGTTCCCGTGGCACTGTCGGCGTCGGCGATGGCGTCGGGGTGGTGTGTCGCATGGCGAGCACGGTGACCACTGTTGCCAGGGAAACCAGCAGCCTCTGCAGCCCGTCACGTTCGATGAGTCCGCTCCGGGAAATGGGTTTGGGTGCGGCTGCTGCGTTACGTTTTCGGAACAAGCGCTCCCCGTCCAATTCGCCGAGCAGTAGCAGGTGTTCATGTCCGTACATTCACCATTACCACTACATTCCACACCTGCCTTATTCATCGGGCACTTTTCCGCAAAGAGCTCCCCGATCGGTTGGCATAGCGACGATCTACACATTCCATTGTCGTGGCAACGAATGCCGTCCTCCACGCGCCCCAGGGGGACTTCGTCTGAGCGGCTGCGATCACTTGACTCGATTGTCGTGCAACTCACGCTGCCGCCGATGGGGACACGGGTGATTTTCGGGTTCGTCCCGTACCTCGTTTTGGGGAACTTCTCCTCCACAAGGCACTGCAGCTTGCCACAGAACCGGTTGGCCGCGGGAATGCCTAGGCGTCTGCCGGTAAGGTTGGCATCGTCAGTAGTGGATGCATGGAGTGCGGCGGTTGTTGGAGGCACTACGGCAGGATAGCAGGCTGGTGAGGCGTCCGCGGCGCTGGGCCCGAAGATCTCCCGACACTGCTCCGATCTGGTAGCACACCGTCCGTGATAGCAGTACGCCTGCTCCCCGTTCTTGCTCACGCACGGTTTGCCATTCTGGCGAGCGAGGTCCCCCGGGCACTGGGCCGACCTGCCCGTGCAGTGTTCCGCAATGTCACATGACCCGTCGCCACGCCGACACGGGCTGCCCATCGGCAACAGGCTGCAGTTGCGGCAGCAGTCGCCCGAGTTGCACTGAGCGCCGTCTCGCAGTCGGCAGTCCGCGGCCACGCAGCATGCGTCACCGCACAGCTCTGGTACGCCGCAGTCGCACTGCTCCCCGTCCTCGACGACCGTGTTGCCGCAGACTGCGTCACCAGGACTACGCCGCGGCAGATTGTGCAGGCAGTCGCTCGCGGCTCCATCCCCGAGGAAGTTATCAAGTCGTCGGCGACTGCAATTGGACCAGCTACACTGTATGCTGTTGACTGGAGTGACGCCGGCCATTATGCACAACGTGCTGTTGTCGGCGGCGCCGGTGGCGGGACACACGCACGTCGCATTCCCCTTCTCGTCGTCCTCGTCGTGACGCAGGCCCAGCGTGTGACCAATCTCGTGCGCCACCGTGGACGCCACCACGCCTGCCAGGCCTCGCCTGCCGTCGTCGTGGACAACCGCGCCAGACCTGCACCTGGAGCAGATCGACGAGGGATACGCCATCCCCACGACGTTCTCCGCGAACCTGACCGCGCTCAGCAGAACGGCCACATCATGCTTGACGATGGGCACTAGCTGGTATTTCCGATAGACGAGGAAGTCGTCCAGCGTGCTCCGTAGCTGGCTGCTCACCTGAATGCGATCGCCGTTGGTCCAGGCATCGACCATTACCAGGGCAACGCGGACGCCGAGCTTTGCGAACAGTGCATCCACCCTATTAGCAATCTGCCTGGCCCTGACTAGCGGCACGCCGACAGTATTCTTGGTGTGGTCGTCATCGGCGTCATATGGCTCCCTACTCAGCTTGTGCAGGAGACTGCTGTCCAGACAGAGAACAAGCTCTATGGTGACCTTCTCCACATCGTCATCGGCACTACGGCTCAGTCGCCGTGGAGAAGTCTCGACGTCACCATGACGATCTGGCAACAGATGCACGTAGTCATGAGATTGATCACGGCGTGGCGGAGCTGCCGGGAGCTGGCCGCGAGGCTTTTCGGCTTGCCGCGCTGCCACATGCTCGCACCTGAGGAGGGCGTGGAAATGAGAGCCATTCGCCAGGGGACGATGAGTGAGCGGTTCTATGATGAAACAGTGCGACGCGCTGCGACCACCAGCAGAGCTACCACCAATGGCACCATAGTTTTCCCTTGCAAGTGTAGCGGTCTCCGTGAAACTGAACTCTCCCACTACACCATGGCATGTACTGACTACAGCTTGACTGGTGACGTAATTGCCAACTTCACCCTGATAGTAACAGTCGTCCTTGCTCCGTTTGCCAATTCTCACCTCTCCACCCCGGTCACTGTGAACCAGTGCAAGGTGACCCGGCGGTAGAAGCTGAACATTCGGACGCAGCTTCAGATGAAACGTTCGCGGCGTGCCGGACCCGATAGGTATGAGAAGGACATCTCGATCCGCAGCAGCAGATGCAGCCTCGTCGCCTCGAGGTGACAACAACCTGCTGAGAGCCTCCGAGGAGCGCTGGTCTGCCGCTCGGCCCGGGCGATACGCGGACTCAGGGATATCGACAAGTTCGAATCGGCCGTCCGTCGCATACTGCAACCACCTCACACTCTCCAGTGGCAGTGGCTCATCCTCGGAACGCGGTCTCGACGGGTTGACATGACGCGTTGCGGACAGCCCACCTACAAGTGCTAACGCGGAGAGACACACCAGCACCACTGAGTCTAGTGACATTGCACTAGGCATTCTCCCGCGACTGTGCATGTCCGTCAATCTTGCCGGCTAGGCTCGTGATGAAACGAAAGAGCGCGTCGGGCCGTGCGCCAGTTGCTTCACCGACACAACTGGTAGGCATTCACGGCGTGACTGGTGTGGGCAAGTAGTTAGTTCCTGCTTGAGAAAATTAAATTTTTTAATGTCGTCGTACCTTGGAAAATGTACTGCCGTCTAACTTTTAGTTCGTTGTTGAGCCTTCTGAGTTCTGGCAAGTTCTGTTTGGTGGGATGCGTTCCACGAAGAAAAGGATATTCGGGTAAAGTAAAGTTTGTTTGTTCTGCGGCAGGATCGTGAGTTCATGCGCTGTTCCGTGCGCATGGATGGAGGAGAGGTGGGAAGCGTAGATCGACCAGCTACGGGTCTTCGGCAGCACAGACTGCCACAGACACACTGCAACGGATGCGCTCGCGCTCCCGGCCCGAGCTGCACGCAGAGCTTTGCCGGATCGCGGATGCTTCCAGGAACGGAAGTCTTTGGCACGCACGCACGCACGCACGGTGCAGCACAAACAAGCTATCTAACGCAGTGTACGTGTGTGCATCTACTGCACCCAGCCAGATTGAGCGAGATTGGTATACGAATATTACAGTAGTACAGGACCGCTACTTCAACTTCAACAAGACACACGGCCGAGTCGAAGTGGGTGCATATCAGTAAGTACATGTAACTGTTCAGGACATTCGAGAGGTTTTGCATTTCGATTTTCTAACTACATGACTGTATTCCTATTTTTCGAGAGAATCGGCGGAGCGGTCAAGCTCTCGGGAATGTTGCTACTACAGTAGCAGTTGAACGGAAAGAAACAGTCGAGTCAAACGGTACTTTCGACTTCGGTCGAAAAATATTCCAGAATTCGAAATGCTTCTCTGTGATGAGAACTGTGCATGTATGTATGTATGTACAGTGAAACCTGTCTAAGACGACCGCTCAAGGGACCTTCAAAACGTGGTCTCTGTTACCAGGTGGCCTCCTTATCCTGGGTCATTTGACTGGAAATAGCATCCCTTGGCCGGTCCTGGTTTTAAGGTCATTTTTTTAAGACAGGTGGTCGTCTTATCCGAGTGGTCGCCTTGACAGGATATTTACTGTTTGGTCAGGTATGCACATGTGGACTACGGTGCTGGCAACTGAAATCCGACCCCTGAGCAATGCGCTCACATCGCAAAGAATGTGACTGACCCACCGCTCAGGGGTCGGATTTCAGTTGTCAGCACTGTGCATGTACTTTCTTTGTAGATCGTCAAAGCTAAAAGCGCCGCAGTGGCCGTGGTAGCGTTTACAGAACACCAACCGGGGAATAGGAACTCAGTCTCCGTGGCTATTTTTAGTAGCTTGCCTTTCCTGCCTGCCAACCTACTACTGAGTCAGCATGATCCAATGGAATAAGCCCGGGGGGGGGGGGGGGGGGGGATTGCAATGGAGCAAAGATTGCAATGGAGCAAAGATTGCAATGGAGCAAAGATTGCAATGGAGCAAAGATTGCAATGGCTGTATTATGCAGTACAGTGACCGACGTCTGTCAAGTGAAATCATGCGAACTTTTGCATGGTGGGGGGGGGGGGGGGGGTCGTTTTGATCGGATCCGGCTCAGCTTTCAGTGGGCATTGCTGCTTTCAGTGCGTGAGCTCCTTTTCCACTCGGAGCAGTAGATTCAACTTAGCATGCATTCATTGCATTGTAAGATCGACTCCTGATATAACGAACACCATTGTGCAGACCAGGCAGGCACAGTGGGTTGGTCAAAGACCATAATTGAGATATGAGAGGTACCTGGTTCAAGTCCTGCCTGGGAGCGGTTTTTCCAGCCGTGCTGCTACCCACAGTCAACTGGGAACTTGTGGCCAGGCACAAGGGGTACATGGATGCAGCTAATGGGGTCGTTTTCGGCACTTGTGCCAGTGGTTGTGAGACTTGCCCACTCACCCCCACCGTTAGGCGCTGCATCTGCCGCTAGGGTTTATCGGGTGTTAGCGGCCGTCGTGAGTTCCCTTCGGGAACGGATACGATAATTTACTTTTTTTTTACTTTTTATTGTGCAGGAGAAGTAGTTCTTTATAGCCGAAGTTCGTTATAACAGACATGCACTCACACTATACTGTCCCTCCAGGAAATCGCGATTCCACGGATGCAAGAAATTTCGCGATTTTCGCCCAAACCCGCGATTTCCCGCGTTTTTTGGTTGTTTTCTGCACTATATCTCACTTTTTCTGCACTTTTCACGCAGTGCTTTCCATGATCCTGTAGGTTATTTGCACAGTACGACTCGTACTACTCCCGAGTAGATATACGATGCAACAAATTTCGTGATTTGGCCCAAATCCGCAATTTTCTGGAAATAATTCCGCGAATTCCTTGCAAGTTCTGCATCATTCCGCACTTTTCGTCGCATTTTTTGTTGTTTTCTGCCGCAATTTCTTGCGCAAATTTTCGAGAGTTTTTTCCGCAAACTCCCGCAGGGACAGACTATACGAGCGGTAAGTCATGACTGGCAAGTAGTCCACGACAGTGTGGATGCACTTGGTGTACATGCGGCCCTACAAGATTTGGTTTGTTATAAACGAAAACGTTTCGCTATAAAGGGTCAATATTGTGTGGGTTCAATCAGGGACATGGATTAGTGTTCTTTATATCACGAAATTCGCTATATGCGAGTTCGTTACAAGTGGAATCGACTGTAAATGCTACAAGACAGATCATAGGCTGCGCATTGATCATCACAAGACATCGTGGATGTACGCGTGCACGTCAATGTGTGTGCGTGTGTGTGTGTGTGTGTATATGTATATGTGTGTGTGGTAGTGTGTGTGTGTGTGTGTGTATATGTGTGTATGTGTGTGTGTGGTAGTGTGTGTGTGTGTGTGTGTGTGTGTGTGTGTGTGTGTGTGTGTGTGTGTGTGTGTGTGCGTGTATGTGTGTGCGTGCCAGCTAGTTCCGTTGGTGGGTACACTTATGCCTGATTTTGTTGGGTCTGTTGCCAACGGGCTCGGCTACTTGAAGGTGTGATATTGTACCTGCCACCTTTGTTGGTTCCAGGGTTCATATACTTTCTATTTGAAGTATACATACGTGTTAACCATGGACTGCTTCTGACTAGATTAACTCTTGTGTAATCATGGTGCTAGTGAAGCTTGTATCAGATCCACTCTGATTTAGCCACCCACACTAGTAGTATTACCATCACTGGGGGCAGGGGTAACTGCAGTTGGATCCGGGACGGATACCCTGATGCCGTCAATCCTTTGTCTGCACCTTGTCCTCACCCACTTACTGAGGTGTGGTGAGCCCAAAAGTGGGAACATTTTCAAGTCTACAACAGAGTCACACAGTTTGGGGATTTCAGGGGGTGTTGGCCGTTGGGCGGTTCAATAGCCAATTGAGTCATCTTTCCAAGATTCTTTTTGAGTCTCTCTCCCCTCTCCCGAGGAGACCCACTTGACCAGTTTTGGCAGTGAGCAACAAGTACAAGTGTGTGTTTGCATGTGTGTGGGCTCGCATGCGTGCATGTGAGTGTGTGCATGTGTGTGCATGTGTGTTTCCCATATGGTGCAGTGGTGTATGTGCAGCGATTTTTAATCGATAGGTTGCGCTTTCGATTCCCGACGGCTATGGTCACACACATCTTTCTTATCTTTCTAGGACTCCTTCTGACTTTTCTTTCATTCTCCTGGGTGGTTACCAACAGCCAGTGCATGCCGGAGTATATGGTGTGATGTGTGTGCGGAAAAAAAATTACTACCCATGATGATTTGCTCACGTGAGGGGCAGTTTTGGCGCGAATTCATTCCGTGGCTCCTGCTGTACCGCGCCGTGGCCATTCCGGTGGCGAGGGCCTCTGGGGGATGGAAATGGCATGCCGTGGTATTCCGTGAGGTAGAATACACTGTGTAGTAGGTATTTTACTACTTCCCGATAGGAAGTTTTTTTTCTTTTGTATTTGTGGTACGAAGTTCTTTCTTGGCTTTTTCGATTGGTTGATTTTGAGCTTTCTCCAATTATCTCCCCCACTATTTTCCGTCCAGACCAAAGTCAGAAATTGGTTAAAATGGTGATCTGTCCACTGATTGGACCTTCCAGCTTGGAAGGTTCAAGGTTATGGTACCTTCCGAGCTGGAAGGCTGTTGGCTTACGCACTGGAGATGTGTTAGAGCTACATAATGTCCACACAGCACGCGCTAATTACCAGGCTACTGTGTGGCGACTGGCTTTGCAACCGAAGCCCGATGTGCCTACGCCCATCGGCAGAGGATGGATTCAAGACAGCGACGGTAAGTTGTTCCGATAAATAATTAGCACCGATAATGTACCCAACTTTGGATCAAGTTATGCGTGAGGAAATTTACACTTGTGTAATTATTATGGTATGGTACGCGTCTACAAAGGCTACAGTGGAGTCTGCGGATATTGAGAAACATACTGCAAGGTTGAAAGAATTGTAATTAGCAGATAAAAGGATAAAGGATACAGTGCTGCCCTTCCCATTTAACCAGATATCTATGACTGTCTACTGCAAAAATATACGCGATGAATAAATTAACTGTCTGTGACAATGTTTGTTTCTTCCTTCAGGCAGAGTCGCTGTGAATTGGACAGAACAGCAGGCAGTGCCAAAAGAACTTCAGAGCCTCATCAGCTGCGGGTGCCGAGGAGTGTGTGACACTCAACGCTGCTCATGCAAGAAGTCATCTCTTGCGTGCACTGACATCTGCCGCTGCGAAGGTACATGCGCAAGTCCGCTCAACAGTAGGCCAGAGCAACCACCACAGCAAAGTACGTCCGGTGACGTATCGCAACTGGAAACTGAGTCCAATCATGCCCAGCCAAACTCAGATTGTGACGACTCGTGTGTCCGATAGTGATGGATCAGCTGCATGTACGAGTGATGATCTCAGCAATGATAACGTTGATAGTGACAGTGCGTCAGTTTGAATTCCTTGCGCAGCTGCCATATTGTAAAGGGAGAAATTAGACAT